GAGTTGTACTTGAGGCCTGCTTACCGGGTCCACCACGCATGTTGTTATCCTCTCTGCTCGCACTCATGCGGCCACCTCCACGTCCTGCCAGGAACGAATGGTCTGTTGCATCCCTTGTCCCGTCTCGCCCCGTCCTCAGCCGCACAGCAGCCACGTCGCAAGCGGTGACGGCCGCACCTGCCGTGCCCCCCGCGGGCGCGCCCGCCGCGCAAGGCGGGGCGTGTCCAGCCATGGAAGCCCGTGGGCCTGCTTGCCCGGCTAAACCACTGCGCGACTTGATCTTGCTCTGGCTTGGCACGGAGAGCCGCGGCCTAGAACTGCCCGCGCTCGCCAAAGACTGCGATGCCCTGTTAGCAGCCTGCCCCTCCCTCCCGCATCCTCTCTTGCTCTGCTGCAGCGGGACTGCTGCTCCGCTTGCGACCCTGGTGTCCGCACTTTCGACGCTGCTGCGCCAGGAGGTCGCGCCCTCACTAGCGCGCGTGGGCTTGCACCAGCAGCCCAGGCAAGTTGTCTCCCCGCACGCTGGGGGCATCCGCCTGGGGGGTGCCGTCCCGACGCACCCCGCCGAGGGGCCCGAGTCTCGTGACTCCGTCCGCCTAGCGGTGCTCAACCCAGGCCGCCTAGGGTTCCTCGCCCTAGGCACTGATATGCTCTTGGAGTGGCGCCCCCACGCTGTCGCCCACGTTCTAACTGGAAGTGGCGCCGACATTTGCGTGCTTCCCCGTGCGCGCCTGCCCCATGGAGCGGTTCTACCGGCGGGCTTTCCGTTCTCGTGGCTGGGCCTGAGGTCGGTTTCTTGGGGCGCGGTCGGGATCTTTGTGCGCACCGAGATTGTCTCGCTCCTGCGCCCTCTCCCTGACTTGTCCTCTGACCGCGCTCAGTGGTTGGCCCGTCCTTTGTTATCTGCGCGTGCTACCCCGCCCCGGGCGGTGATGTTACGACGTGGACGGCTATTGTTTCTTCCATTGCTGTGGCCCGCGCGCGCCACCCGGATGCGCGCGTCTTGATCTGCGGTGATGGTGACGCCCACCTCTCTTATGTATTGCAGCATCTTCCTGGCTGCGCTTGCCTCCACTGCCGCCGGTCGGCGCAAGACCGCACAATCGAAGCTATGATCACCGCCGCCGGCTTTGTGGCGTGCAACCCGCCAGTTGCCACGCATGACTCGGGCACGTGCATCGACCTGGTCCTCTCCGAGCGCCGCTGTCTCGTTCCTGTTACTGTCGCCCGTGCGAGTGGTGTAGACTCGGACCATCGGTTGGTCTCGTGTTCGTTCCCGTGCGTTTTCCGCCCCCACAGCTGTCAGGGCTGTGTCGCGTGGCGTGGCGCACAGATGGCCGGTGGGACGATGCGTTGCTCGCCGTGGCGCCTGTCCTGGCGTGCCCGGCTTGCGCGGTTGGCTCCCTCATTGCCTGTGATTGGCTGCGCCCTCCGTGGACAGGGGGGCGCCACTACGAAGCAGCGCCGTGCTTTATTGGACGCTGCCGCTTGGGCGCGCGACGTGATCTACGTGCTGGCTGGGTTTGCGGCGGGGGCAACTAAGGCGTCCGCGGCAGCCCCCGCGCGCCCGAGTAGGCCTCCGCTTGCCCCCGACGCGCATGAATCGCAAGCTGTTTTTACAAGGGCTGTTGCGCAAGCCGCGTGGGCCGAGCGCCACCTGGCGTTTCAGCGCTTCTCCGACCTCTGCACCGTTTCACCTGGTTTGGCCGAGTAGTTCCTTTCGCAATTCTTTCGGTCGCGCAACCCCTGTGAAATTGCGCGGGCAGACCCGGTAGATGGGCACCCTCTCAATGTGGGAGAGATGCTCGAGACGTTGCAGGCGGACATGATGGACCGCGTGCGCAATGATTTCCCTTCCGACCCGAATGTGCAGCACGCCCAGACCTGCGCGGCTTCGGCAACGCAATCGGTTGGCGCTGGCCCCGTCTCTCCCGGCTGAGCCCTCTACTCGACCTCTGAGGTGGGTTCCGTCTTAGACAGCTTGAAGACCACCTCCTCCGCGCTCCGCGGGCATTTCGCTTCCGTCCGGTCGGCGGTGCCCGAGGGCCGCTGGATCACCCGGGCCCTCGCGAACCTTCCCCGGCACTGTGCCATTACGAGCACCCTGTGGTCGCCTGCACAAGTCGGGTCCGCGCGTCGTCCGTCCCACGCTGTGCTTACGCCCTATTTATATCTCGGTGATCATGACGTCCGTCATGGATGGTCTGTGGACGTTGCGTAACGCCCCGCTGTTGCAGGCATACTGCGGGGTGGCCCAACAGGGCGGGGTGGGTGACCCCATCTCTCCTCTCCTCGCTCTCCTCCTTCATGCCCAACTCCGCTGCGCCCAGGGCCTGCCCACACATTGAGCGGCCACGGATCTTCAATGGGCGTTTGCTGTAGCCCCCCACCCCGCCATGCTCCTGAATGCCTATGAAGCAGGACTCCGTGGCTTCGTTTGCACGACCCCCCTCGGGCTATTCAGATGCCCCAGACCCAGGGCGAGCTGTCTACAGAAAAACATAAGTGTAGACTTCTGTTCCTGAATACGTCAAATTTAACGAATTGAAAGGAACAATGTGGGAGTAAAGAACGCTAGCTCTGAATATGCGAGGCCAATCTAACTGGCAAAGGGGGCGCAGACGCAAACGTCGGCTTTCGCCGTGCTCGTCGCCTCGGCACCTCCCCGCCAGAGCATCCGTGCCTAACCGCTGTGGCCGCGACGATCCATGCGCGGCACATTTGGCGACTCGGTTACACAGTGGTGCTTGTTTCCGAATCCCACGTCGGGCCCCCTGTCGATCCTGATGATTGTCGGTCCGCGCCGCAGGGCCACACTAAGCGATGGCCACTGTTTTCAAGGCGTGGAATGCGATTGCGCAACACAAAACATAATCCTACTCCGCCTCCTCATACCCTACCCCCCAAACAATCCTCGCCCGTTTCTTGCCCATCATCCTCGCTCATAACCCTGGTCAACCTACTCCTAGTCATTATATGCCTCCACCGCGTCGTCCTCCTCTTCTCCTCCCCCCCCCTGCGCCCTTCCCCTCCCTGCCTTGTTCCCCCCTTCTCTGTCTGCGTCCATCACAATCCATGGCGCCCCTCCGCGTTGAAACCTTGTCGGGGCCTTGTCGGGGGCATGGCGCTGCAATTTCGGAGCTTGGGGCACGCACCGCTGCCAATAAGTTATCGCCCAAGTTTCAGGGGCCACTCGGAACCCAAGAGGAGGGTGGGAGGGGGGCAAGCTCAGGAGGTGCCATACCAAACCGCGAGTTTGATATGGTTCATCTTGGGTTCTCTTGGGGGGCCCGTGCCGCTCTCCTCGGGACCCCGTCTGATACCGCCACAAAAACGAAGCGACTTAGATAGGGCCACCAAGGGCCCCCAATAAGTCTCCAGGAGAGACCCCAGTGGGCTCCCAGAGGCCGCCAACAGTAACATATAAACCTCGGGCTTAGCACAACACCGCCTGAGCCCATCTTGGAAAACTCGCGCCCCCCCCCCCAGGACCCCCGTGGAGTTACCCACGCGAATTACGAATTGCCAGGCACATCGCCAACCAACTCCCACGTGGCCGCCAAACAAGGAACCCAAGAAGGCCGTCAAACGAGCCCGTCGGTTTTATGTGTGGGCGGTGGCTTGCTATATCACATGCAAGGTTGCTTTGGGCCGTCACAAAAGTTGGGCGGGTGTCCGTGAAAACGCGCGAATGGCCACGCGGGAATGGGGCACCATCCCCCATCCCCCCCGTGAGTTTCACAAGTTTTCGTTGATGACCATTGGGGGCATCTGAACGGTCACAGGACGGGTAGCGACATGCGCTCTCCTGTTACCTTGACAGGCGTTCGGTTGGCCACAGTGAGAGCACGTGGAGGCCACATAACATGGGTTGATGAGTTCCCCCCTTGCGTGTTCAGCACACGCGCTCGTTGAGCATCGGTGGGTCCTTCGAACAGTCCACAACATGTCATTCACTGAAGCGTATGGCTACTACGACCTATTACCAACGAAACGTGCAACGCCGAGCTCCCCTTGTTACCTAGTAGCCAAGGGGGATCGGTGATGGCCTTTGGGGGGGGGCGCGGGGTCACGGGGCGATGTCCTGAGGGGAGGGGCTTGGGGGAAACGTCCTCAACCTCTCTCTTTTCACATCCTATTGGTCATTCTCCGCGTGCCGTATCTCTCCGAATCCTCACCCCCTCCCCCCCTCCTCAACCGTCAACCCCCCCTCGTGTCCCGCCCGCGCTCCCGTGCCCTTGCCGCCCCTGCCCCATCCACTTCCTCCACCGACGGCGACGACCACCGACGACGGCGGCGGCAACGCGGCAGCGACGACGACGGCGGCGACGGCCCGTCGCGGCCGCGGCGACGGCGGCGACGACAATGACGCCAAAGGTTGCATCAACTAGAGGCCGTCGTTACCGATTGTCTTGAAGTCATCCTTCCGCCTCTTCTTGCCCATCTTTGCTCCCTCCCCCGTGCCCCCTCGTACATCGCCTCCCCGTCGCTCTACTCCTTTTTCGTTTTTTCTCGTAATGTTTTTTGCTGTTTCTTATGTTCTGTTTCCCCCAGCCCTCCCCCTCCAGTTCGCTCGCCCCCACCCCTGTGCTCGATGTACTGGCCAGCACCTTCATATCAAGCCACCCCCTACCTCGCGCCACAGTCGCGAGAACACGCGCGCAGACGTGCGAAGGATACGCTCGATCAGATGTGACTTCACACGCACGCTCGAGCAGCAAGCGCAAAGCCGACACAGTGAGAGTTCAGAGATATGTAAGGCAACCAATACACACATAGTATCATGGCATTTTCAATTCTATTTTGCAAGTGGGTTCCTCCCCAGCTGGGCTCAGACGCCAGCTCTCAAACGCACGTGGAACCGCACTGCACCCCGAGCGACTCTACAAACAGAGCCTGCGCAAATCTTGATATTCTAACTCTGGTCGGCGTGGGCGTGCATGCGTGCGTTGCGTGCTGCGGTCTGTGCAACACTGCGAGTGACCGTCAACCGCACCTACCTTGCGCCACTGACGATGGCCTCCAGCTCGTTGACCAGCGACTTCGCCAAGTCACCCTTCTTGGAACCCAGGATGAACTGAGCGTCGTCCTGGCGCTGCTTGCTTTTCTTATCGTACACCAGCCCCAGCGCAGCGATGGTCGTCACCGCCTTGCGCGCGGAGGTCCAAATACTCTCGATCGTGTCGACGCTGTCCTTGATCTGCTGGTCCTCGGTGATCGGAGGGCTGAGGCACCAGTTCTTGTGGAGGTAGCCGAACTTGTCCAGCATCGTGTACACGCTCAACACCTTGTTGTTCAAGAGATCGCGGTTCACGAACTTCACGAGCTGCGACTTGGCGGCCGCGGCGTTGATGCGGTGCTCGAATACGATGTGCGACGTCGGGGGCGTCACCTCCTGCAGCTCCATGGCCTCCGAGTTGACCACCTCCAGGTACTTCATGAACACGTCTCTGATCACCTTCTCCGTCGTGTGGGTGGACTGGCCCAGGAAGTTGGTAAGGGTCGAGAGGCCAGGCCAGCATAATTGTTTGATCTCCTCACTCGCGTCAGCCAACCTCTCCGCATGCTCAATGCCTTCCGTAATTGCATCGCGCAATGCCATGATTGCAGCGCTTACATCTGGCTTGATGTCGCCGTCCTTAGCAACGCTGTCGGAACGGCCGCCTGCGTCGGCAGACTTCAGGAAACGGTCGCCAAGCCGACCGAAGCACGCTGCGATCTTGTGGCAGTCCGACCACAGCATCGAGAGACTAGAGAAGACGTCCAGCGGGAGCACCGCCGAGACCAGGTCGCCAGCGCCACTGGGTACCTTGATCTCTATCTGGTTGTCCTCGTTAACGCACACGCCAGCCAGCCGAAGCACGGCGCCGCGCATGTCATCGCACGGCCATGCACCCATAGGTTGCGACAGAATCTTCCCCATGGCAGGTTGCACGTTGTCGAAGAACGCCTTGGTGTAGAAGTTGTCGTACGCGAGCGGCTCGCTCAGGCTGCCTTTACCAAGCTTGTCAAACTCGATGTTATGCAGTGAGACCGACGTGATGAACCTATCCACCGCGATGTCCCAGGATGCCACCACCAAGCCGCTCGCGTAGGTCACGAGATCGCCGCTCAGCACGTTGGACACGAACTTTGTTACAAGAGCGGGCGACACGCGCAGCTTGGTGCCGCTTTCCCCTGCAACTCCAGCGATGCCGTCGATGCAGAAGTCGCCCTCATCCCTGAAATAAATGAACGATTCGAGGGAAGTGCCCACAACCTGCTTGGACAAGGATATGAGTGCCACTGCCTTGGCGAGGACTGAGGAGCTCTCGTGTTCACCGCTGGCAACGGCCCCCCACTCGTTCACGGCATCGATCGGCGTCGAGGTCCTGCCGAAACCAGCGATGCATTTGATGAGGGACACCAGGTTCGCACGGGTCGTGATGTTCTCGCTGATGCGCTGGACCACTTTCGATAGGTCTACCAACGACGGCTCCGCAGCCCTCATCGAGTCCGAGAACTGGCCAACGATTCGCAGCACGTGCTCGACATTCACCCCGAAGCAGGTCTCGTCCCACACGGTCTCGAGGAAGGATCGCGCACCGACGGACCAAGCTGAGGCGTTGACGCCACTGGCCGCGCCGTCGTTGGGCTCAACTGCCAATGCGCTGGAGCTGCCCAGCGTGCTACCGTAGAAGGACACCATGCGGACCGAGAAGACCAAATCGTACAAGGACAGGTGGTGCACCAGCTTGACCATCCACCTGCCAATCTCGGGGGACTGCTCCTCCAGCCGACGACGCTCCCACAACTTGATGGCCTCCTGCGCGTGCTCGACGCTGTCGCCGAGGCTGCTGAAGCAGGAACCCGTTTTCATCAAGTCAACCCGTAGCACCGTGGTGAGGATGCCGCCCTCAGGCTCCTCGGTCTGCACGAGGCTCGGCAACTCTTTGCTATCGTCCTGGACAATGGCCATGGCGCGCTGGAGCTTCTGGTCGCCCAGGTGGTCCTTGGCGGTGACCGCCAAGATCGCACTCGCCTCTGCCAAGACGTGGGATCCAAGGGTCGAGAAATGCATCTGGTTCTTGAGAAGGACCATGCTCTTGGAACTCTCGACGCAGTCGATCGCATCGGAGACGCTCTTGGCTGACACCTTCTCTGGCTCCACCGCTGCGGTCAGGAGCGCCTGGCAGTGTCTGAGTTTGTCGATCGCGTCGCTGAGGAACGACATGAAGGCGGGGTGGAGAATATCAATCGTCATCGACACGCGCTCCAAGATCTGCCCAACGGTCTCGCGAAGTTGACCATCGTCGCACCTGGCCCGCTCGAGGGTCTCGGCGAACGCCCTCACCAACATATTCAGCATCCACTCGTTGAACGAGAAGTCCTTGCGCACCGTGGACAAGGCCGCGAAGGTCGCCTTCAGCCCGTAGTCGACCGTTGCTTGCAAGGCTGCGTCCACTGTCTTCGCTTGCCTGTTGAGGTTGTCGAAAAACACGGTAGCGTGCCAGAGAATCTTGAATGTCGGATAGAGGCCAGGCCCGATGCCAATATCTCTGAAGAACTCAACGGCCTTGTACATGGAGTCGTATAGTGTAACCAATTTGCCGTGCTTCCTGCTCGTCTTGATGAAGTCCTTGTGCATCTTGACAAACGTCTTCACGGCCGTGAGACCAGCCGCCCAATGCTCAGAGAGTTCTGATCCGTCTTTGTCCCCGATGCTGGCGGCCTCGTTCCTGGCCAAGCTCAGCGAAGTAATGTGCTTCGTGAATGCAGATTCCTTGACGTCCTCCCACGTCTCAGTCTGGAACTTCGCGACAACGGCCTGCGCCGCACAAACGAGGCCGTCGACCTTGGTCTGCATCTTCGCGCGGGGAGGCCGCTCGGGCTCCTGACCCCTGGGTGTCAGCAAGGGCGCCAAGGCCAAAGCGTCGGGCGTCGTCCTCGAAACGCCCTCGTGGCCCCCGAAGTAGCAGTTCATCATCTCCAAATCCTCCTCTGAGCAAGCAAGTGTCGACCTCGACGCCATCACCTCCGTCTCCGAGGCGTCCCCAGAGGGGCGCTTGATCTCCAAGGTGCCAGGGCATGCAGGTGCAAACACGCCGAGCTGGGGAGAGGAGCCATGGAAGATCGTGACGAGACTCGCAGGGTCGAGCCTCCCGTTCCTTGCGGCAGCCTTCGCCACAGCGTCCTTCAAGGAGATCACGACGAACGGTGTCAACGGGACCCCGATCAGATTGCTAACGAAGTTTAGTACCCTCACTCTGTCTTTGACCATTCCAGCTGTGATCTTATCATACTTCTCGAACTTGAGGGAGAGGTACGCGAGCGAGCTCTTCTCCCATGAGTCCCTGTGCCGAGTCATCCAATCACCGAAGACTGGTAAAGTGTACTCCTCACGGTATACTGTCCTCCAGCACGTGTGGCAATCTTTGCACCAAGCCCCTCTGCCCGCAGGCAGACCCCAAGGAACTGGTTCAGCTGGATTGAAGTAGCAACGGCTAACGCCGAAGACCCGCTTGCAGCCCAAGCACGGATCCTTTTCCTTGCAGGCCGATGCCGAGCCTCCGCAAGATAGGTCACTCACCATTGACTTGGCGTCGCCGTCCACGTCATCCTTCACGTCGGAGATGCGGTCCTTCATGGGCGTGCTGAAGTTGCCCGACGACGCCGCGGGGCTAGCCGCCACTCCTCCAGGTTGGCGACGGCGTTTCGCCGCGAGCCAGTGTCCTGACGAGTCCTGTTGGATGCAGTTACTAGCAACAAAAAACTCCTCTCCTCTCAGACTCCTCTCCCACCCCAATTTCTTTTCACCCCCATCCCTCCCTCCACGAACCCCCCATTGTCGCCCCCCCATCGCGCCTCGCTCCACGCGGGTGGAAGGGGGCCGTGGGGCAGTGGGCAAGGACTAAATGAGCTACCGAAATCCAAATAAGGGCGACAGGGACCCTCGCCTTCCTCTTCCTCCTCGTCGTCTTGCTCCTCCTCCAGACCCATCCCTCACGACGCGTTTCACCGTGCCTCTCCTCATGACAATCCTTTCCTCCTCCTCCTCAGCCGATGGGGTCATGGAACCTCCCCTTAGGTCCTCCACGGACTCCCTCTTGCACGGAGTCTGCACCGCCGAGGACGAGACGGCAGCATCGAGCTCTCTCATGGCCTCCATGCTTCGGCGGAGCAGGCCGAGACACGAGGGGCCGAAGTTATCTCTGCCAACCAAACAAGACTGGAGCCAAAAATGGCCTACAAGTGCGAGGCAGCAGAAGAAGCATTGCGCATTGGGGGCAGGGGGCACGCACCAGCAAGCAGTAAATGCACAACCGTGTGGACGGCCAAAAATCTCCACCCGGCACTACTCTGGGCGGCCAGCCAATAATCTCCCCCTGGAACCATTGGGCACGTAAGCGTGGCCGCGTAGGCCACGCGTCCACACCACAGGCCTTCGCAGCCGACGAAATCTACACATCGCCCACCCCCCTTCTACAGATCAGACACTAATGTGTGCAACCACCACCCACTGCACTTCTACACTTACACAGACAATGTGTAGAAGCGACACACGACACTTCTACACATCGACAGACAATCTGTAGACGTGGGAGAAATCGACTTCTACTGTTCAGACGTAAATCTGTAGAGGGGGGGTGGGCGGGCCGTCGCAACTCGGGCGCCCACGAACCTAGCCGAGGGGGGGGCCGACATACTGCTCCCCCCCCGCCCCGCGCTGCCCCCTCGCAGGAGGAGTCCTCGGGGTGAATAGGCAGGGGCCGAAGCTGCCCTGGCTACCAAAGGGATGGCCAGAGCGACCCCCTCAAGAAAGTTGAGCTGCCAACCGACGCAGCTAACCAGATCTTCGAAGGGCACGGTGGCATGGGCAACGCACGGCGCCACGGATTTCGGAGGATGCTCGAACCGAGCGACTGCGAGGTATAGAAGGGCACGGCATGTGCAGGGGGAGGCAGATGAGAAGTCAGGACGACCGACGTGGCACGACACGTTTCCACTACTACTTGGCATCTGGCAACGGGGGGAACAGGGTTGAGGGTGCAGGAGTGTACTCGACACGCTCACCGATCGATGTAAGTCCAGCGCCGTGTCACACCCCCGTGGGCCACACACACCCTAGGTTACACAAGAGGTCTTCGTTTGAGCTAACCTGGCCCCTCGAGCTACACCCCCTAAGCTACACGAGACCGATCGTCAACCATATCACAAATCGAGAGAGGCTGGGGAGAGAGCAGGGCGCGCCTGCCACATTGATGTACACGCCGATGCGGGCGCGACAGTGCCGCGGCGGGGCTCTCTCTCTCTCTCTCTCTCTGCCTTACTCTCCCTCTCTCTCTCTCTCCCAACCCCCTGCCACCCGCTCGTCAGAGAGAGTGGCGCTTCAAGAAGGCAGACCTGCAGAAGCGGGCGATCATGTGTGGAAGCGTTCTCACCCTTCCTGCATCCTCGCCACCTCTCCTGCCTCCCCTGTCCTGTTTCTCTTAAGCTCATATTCCTCCTCGTCGGTAGCTCCACCTTGGTTGCCAACCTCCATCCCCCTCCCTTCCATCGTCCACCGTACTGCCGCCCCTATCCTCCCACTCCACCCTAATGTGGCTTTGCAGGACCTCGCTGCCCGCGGCAGGGCCCACGAGGGGCCACGGGGCTCGAGGGGCCGCGAGACTCGAGGAACGGGCCACGAAGCAACGAAGCGCAATGGATGCCAACAGACGCTGTCACGATTATCTTGCTAGCGCACTGCCTGGCCGATTGTATCTTCGCGCCCCCAGAACACCAGTCTGCTTGCGGGGGCGGAGGCGGAGGGAAGCGGAGGAGGGGGCATGAATGTTGTTGCAAAGCATTGGCTGGCATGCGCCAGCAACGCCGAGGGCGCGTTAGCGACCTCGCGCGCCCAATGGGCTGTGGGCCACGGACAACCGAAATCACATCAGACACGTGGCGTTTTCATCTCCTCAGTTTGGGAAATTGCTCGTCGAACAGTTGTTCGTGTTGCTTGCACAGCTCGGCCACGTGCTCCTGCGTGGCGTCGGCAGCGGGGAAAAGGTTTGAATTCAACAGCCACTCCAACATCTTCTGTGGTGGAGCACGCCTCCAAGTGACAGGAGGCGTGAAACATCTCGTGCCATGCACGCAGCAGTACATTTTGAATGACCGCTGCTGCTCTGGCTTTGACACGGGCCAAGATTGCAATCGGCCCACCATCCCAAAGTCGCACCATGGCGGCGCCTCGCAAGTGATGTACCCAGAGCCCTTGTCTACAATTGCAATGGCTGCCGCTGCCTCGGCGGACGGCCACACTGGCGCGGCCTCAGGCGGGAGGGCCGATGCCAACTCAAGCGCGGCCGCCTCCTCCGCCTCGCCGCAGGCGTCGCCTTCTCCATCCTCGGCGCGCGCAGCTCCAGCGCCGACGCCGTCGCCAGCCTGGGCGATGGCGCTGTCGCCGATCGCCTCCTCCATCGCGTCGGCGATGTCCTGGACGAACCCGTCGCCGAGGTCGCGAACGCCGTGGAGCAGCTCCACCTCTGGATCCTGCCACGCGGCGTCATCAATCGCACCGCCCTCAGGCTCAGGTGGGGCGGGCGCGCCGATGACGCGGCCACCAGCGGTTGTCCTGGTGGCACGCATCGAAGCGAAGGCTTGCGATCCTGAAGCTCGCGACGCACCTGCCGACACGGGACTGGCCGCGCCCATCATCATGACGGTCTCGAGGGCGCTTCCTCGGCAAGCCTTGATCTTCTTCGACAGCACGAACTCGTTCGGGATCTCGGACACCACGTGGTCCATCAACGGGTCAGGCCCAAGTACGTAGTCCAGCGGGTGCAAAGTCCAGCTGCGATCGTGGAACCGAGCAAGTTCGTGGCAAAGGTCTTCACTTGACTGCATCATGAATGTTCTATCGTGCCTAGACTGGAGGCTCTGCTTGGTAGAAAGCCTCAAGACAGCAGGCAGCTTCGGCAGCTCGAACACACCATCGCTTGGATGCTTTTTCACGTGGCATCTGCAAAAAATCTGGACGTTCGGCCTGAGCCTCCTCGTGCACAGCAGGGCGCACACGTGGATGTGGGGAGGCATTGGGTCAACGTCACCTTTGAACTTACCTCGGAACATAATCAGACAGGATGCATCATCGGCCACGGATTTCTCCAAGGTGTCCACGAAGCCATTCAGCACGGGGAGCAAGCCGTCGAATCTCTCGACAACGGCTGGCGATGCGACATATCTGCAGAAACTTCTTTTCTTGGCGAAGCACCCGCACACTGGGAGCGTCCCATCGACAGGCTTGCTCATCAAAGATGCTCGTCGGGGTGCTGTGTGCACGTAGTTCACATCATCGTGACGGGCAAGCTTCTGGCGATCGTTTGACTTGTACATGTTGTGGCACTTGACGTACACGCTCGGGTCGATCGGCGTCGAGATGCTCGTATCGTGGGGAAGGTCGTGGCCCCACAAAGGTGTGAACGCACAATCTCGTCTGTCTTCAATCGGGGTGTGCTGTATGTGTCGCCCAATACGGTCGGCCTTGTTGAGTAGCTCCCACTCCACCCGTTCTTGATCGGGCATCTCTGCCCACCGTGCGCTGCAGCGTTCATAAAACCCACCAAGCTCCTGTGGTGTCAACTTCCGATCTGGCGCAACCCTCTCCTTGAATATACTCAGCTGTATGTTCTGCCACGTGATCCTGGCGGAAGGCCCATTATGCTTTTTAGTTTTGACCGTGTCTTCTAGTGGCTCAGCAGTTGGAGGGCGAACGGGGTCATGCCCACGCCGTTGGATATGTTCGGCACGAGCCTGCCTACAGAAAATGCGGTTCACGCTGGTCGTGAAGTTGCGGGCTGGCCCATCTGACCGCAAGTCCTGTCTCACAACGTTGTGGGACCTCTCGCAGAAGTCGGTACTGTGGAGCGCGGTGTCGCCGAAGGCCTCCATTATCGCCGCCCCTCTGGTGATCATTTCCTCGGGGGTCGGACACAGCCCCTTCAGCCGTAGGCAGAACATAGAGAGACAGTGGTCAGGGCAAGCGAAGAAAGAGTTGATGGCCATGTGCTTCTCCTCGTCGGTCGCACTGCCGTCTGCGAGAACGAGAAGCGTGTACGGCGGCGATTCGAATCTCTTCTCGAAGTGGTCGTATGTGGAGGCAGAGAGCTGCAATAAATACGACTTCGTCCATCGCCGCACGCCGTCGTCATCACAGTCGACGCCTAGACGAGTCAACTCGGCCAGCTGTTCCCCGTCCACATACCGCTCCATCATGCGAAGAAGGTCACGCTGGATAGTGGGGAAAGAACCATGCTCCCTGCCCAACAACTCAGACAGTGTCCACTTAGAATACAGTATGTCGTATATGCACACCTCGATCGTTGTCATCCCACTTATCATGACGAGTAGCTGCCATTGAGCATGCTCCGTGCACAAGTGTTGGCAAATCCGATGGACATGTAGTTTGTTCTTGGCCCCGACGTTGTCTGAATCAGCAGCGATAAGTTTGCTCAGAGCTTCTGCGACTGTGTCCGTGACATTCCAATTGACCCTCAAATCAGTCAGCGACTCTGCAAGGACGTTGCCACACATGCAGCCGACAAATACTTTCTTGAGAACCCGAAGTAAGTATAACCACCGACCTTCTGGGGCATGAGCGACACCTCGGTGCACCAAGTAGTTCAGGATCGGAACTGCCACTTTGTCGAACGACTCCCCGTCGTGATCGCAACACCGATCACCCACGGATCTGCCCGCCTTGTGAGCCGACGACCCCCGTTCGACGAAGCACCAGTGCGTCAGTTTTCCGTTCGGCCCCTCCATGTCAACGAAGTTCATCAAGTCGTCCAAAACCAAATCATTCTGGCGAGGCCGTTGGGCCCGCGGGGGCCTCGATCCCGCAGCCGGTGGCCTAGGTTCGATATCGCGATCAGGCTTGCAAAAACAAAAGACAACATCTCGAGCTCGCTCGGCAAGGCGAACTGGGCGCGCCTCCCGTCTAATCTCAAACTTCCGATTGATCACAACCAACATCGCCTTTCGAAGAGCATCGGAGTTCCTATGGGTCGAGAGCGCCGCGCGAACAACATGGCTCGGCCCTGCTCGGCACCTGCTGCGCGTATCCCCAAACGCATTTCGGAGCTAAGTTTCTAAGCTTCGGGGCTTCTGTGTGTTTTGGGAGCGGGATGGGGGAGGGACACCAGGGCCGCGCAAATCACTACGCTTTGCGCGGCCCCCCTGGGGGAGTTAGGCTGGAATAACGGGGCCTGCCGATGGGGGGGGGGGGGGGGGCCCAGGTGCGCACGCCCGACATGAGGCGCACAGCAGGGCCGAGCAATGGAGCTCGCGCGGCGTTCCCACCCTGAGAAGAAGGCCTCCACTGGCGTAAAAATGCACACAACGAGTGACAGCTAGCGACCAACTTCTTCCCGTGTGCAGGCGCCCCCTTGATCAATGCTAAACCGTGCAGAATGCAAGGCTCAAGATGTGGAAGAACATTCCGTGGGGCACCCTGTTGGGCAAGCACTTCCCATAACCATGACATTGCCGAGAAATTGGCGCTGGCACGATCACACGACAAGAGCAGCAACAGAGAGCGGCCTCGAGCGGCCTCCTGCAGCTCGAGCTCGTCCTCGAAATTGATTGGGCCACCGCGAAGAAGACCCTCAACCTGCACTGCCCATTGGCCATGTGAGGCAGAGGTGGGGCAATGATAACAAATAGACAGGCGGAGGAGGAGGAGGGGAGGATGAGGAGGAGGAGAGGTTGGAGAGCAGGAATGCGAGAGGGGGGCATCGCCATCGCCGTCGTCGGAAACTCTTGCCCCCCCGTCCCTCTCGCTTCTCCTCTGCCTCCTCATCGTTCTCCTAACCCTCACGCGGCACTAGGGGGAGGGTGGGCACCTCCGTCGTCGCTCACGGCCGCCAGGCGGAGGCGGGGCGGTAGGGGGAGCGGGGAGGGGAGGAGGAGAGGGGTATGGAATGGAGGAGGACGGGGGACTGGCCAATGCTGAGGGAGGGGATGGATGAGACTGCGGGCGAGGGAGATTGGGGCGATACGGTGCAATGGCCAAAGAGATAGCATGAACGCGGGACCGACGGGTGCGGGCGACAAGGCACTGAGCATGAGGGCAACAAGTGCAACAACACTTGCGATGGGCCACGTGGCTGGAGAGCGACGGGGAGGATGAGAGGAATGCGGAGGATGATGGGGTGTGGGAGGCGAGGACATGGAGGAATACAAAGGGATGAAGGGATGCCGAAACGATCTGCGACGACTGAGGCGTGGACGAAGTTGGAGACGAGAGAGGAAGGTAAGACGGTGCAACTGACCCCTCTCACTGTCTAGCTTCCCGACCCGCCCCGCCAAGAAATCAGCGGTCTGGGAGGCGAGGCACAGGCCCTTGGAGAAGAAGGGCTGCCTCTCGAGCACGACGCGGCCGTCGTGCGTGATCATGGCCCACATCTGCATCATGATCTCGGCGCCTACTTTGCGCTGGGACTCTAACTCACCACGTAGTGCACCAGCGTGCACAGCTCGAACTCGTTGTCGGGTCTCGTCCCACTGGCCCGTGACGACAGTGATGCCCGAGGGGGCGCCAGCGAGCTCAAGAACTCGACCACCAAACACTATCCTATCTCTGCATGCGGCCTGCTGCTTCATCGCAGCTTGCATGGCCACCATGACCGCCTCTGTTTGCCGATTGCGGGCGGCGATGGCACCTTTGATCGTGGGCGCCATCGCAAGCCGTATCATTGTTGCTGCTCTCTGCTCGTCCATCGGCCGCCTGACCTGCGGCAGCCCCACAGTGGCGGCCACCATCGGGTACGAGGCGGCCACGTTGTTCAATGCGCCCTCGAGATTCTCAGATCTCCTCGCCTCAACCTCTAGGTCATGCTTGGCCCGCTTGAGCTCCTTCCTGCTGCGAACGTGTGCCATCAATGCCGCGGAGCCCTTTTCCCAGCGAGGCCGACCTGAGGCGTGGGGGCGGCCACCGACAGCGATCAGCATGCGCAACTCCGCAGCGCCATCCGCGGGGACAATCTGCTGGAGCGGCGCCGCCTCCCGAGGGTGGGCCTCCTCCTCGGCTGCGTCGCCCTGCTGGTTGGCCTCAGCAGCGGCCGACGCGCGCCGTCGCACACGGCGTTGCCCAACGCCGACAAGGCGGGCGAGATCATCCTCGTCGCCGCCTCGGCTGCTCGAGGCAGCCATTGGGGCCCGAAGCAAAATGCTTGAGCCAACATGGCTACGGATGGGACGGGGAATGACGACGGAAGGGGGAATAAGGGACCGACGACAACGGGAGAATAGTCGGGGGCGGGGGGCCTTGGATGAAATGGCCGACGACGACGACGACAGGAGGAGGGGGAGGGAGGAGGAATGGATTCTAATGATCATGATGCCCTCCCTTCTGGCCCGTATCTCCCTTCTGCTTTTGCGCGCACTACCCCTCCCAATGTCCACCCTCATCCCCTCCCCAACCCACCGTTCCCTCCCCTCTGATTTTAAGTCGATGCTTTGACCATTCGGCAATCGCACAAGTCGGTCAAGGTCAAGACGAGTGTGAAGTGTGCTTATTGTTTTTTGGGGAATTAACATGTGTACACACAGTTTCAATAATCTGTCGATGCCCCACGCGCGCGTCTTACAATCCAACAGAGGGCCTGGAACACAGGCCACCCGTGCAAACGAATCCGTGGCCATGATTGGCTCCTTCTCGACAATGTCATGTCGTCATGTCGTCTGGTAACCAATACATTGCGCTTCGCGGCCACGTCTCTTCTCTGTTTTCGCTCGGTGGCAGCACGGCGCAGGGCCATAGTTTCAGCGCTGGCGTTTTCAACGCGCAGCTCCAGAGGCTGGCGAAGGAGGTGTATCGTGCGCTCCCTGGAAGCTGCGCTGCTTGGGTTGGGCCTCACCTGCGGCGCTTTTGCTTAGCGTTGCCTGTGCCTGATTCTGCTGCCGCGGGATGGCCAGCGCCGCCAGCTGTACGGGGCGACCTTGACGCTCTGGCTATCGAGGTGGCGTCGGCAGCTGCCGCGGAGCAGGCGCCTTTCCTGAGGGCCGAGCGAGCATTGCTGCGTGGAGCCCAGCGTTTAGCCTCTGAGGCCGACAGGCCTACTTGCTGGACCGCCTGGGCACGGGCCCGTTGCCCCCACTGCAGTTTGTTGATGACCTTTCCGTCGCCACGTCCTCTCCGGGGGCTCTCCGTGGCATCGTGTCGCGGGGGCCCTGGTCGGCCTGCTCGTGGTACGCAACCCGTACCCGGTCCATGTTTAATTAGAAGACGGGGGAAACGGCGGCCGTGGTGATCCTCACAGCCCCCCTGCGGGGGACATCGGCTGACCAGTGGTGCGTACTGAAGCCTTGCTGGGGGTGCTTAGACTCCCCTCTCACCTTCTGCCCCCTGCTGCGGGCTACGCTTTCGTCGGTGAGTCCGGTGGCTTTGGTCTCCCCATCCTGTGTACCAAAGTGCCGTCGCGCATGGGATCTGTCTTGCTCTACCCCTCCCCGCCCCTCTTCCTTGCTAAATGGGCGCGCTTCTCCCTCGATCATACGCCAGCGTCGTGGGCACGGCGCTTGCTGGGGTGCGCTGTCGGCCCTGAACTGCCCGGCGCGGTTGTCGTATCGCAACGTGGGTGGCAGCTGCGCTTGGGCACTAAGATGCTTGAGCGTACGATCCTTGCTCGCGCGAGGCTGCTTCCCCGGCCGGCCGAGCACCCGGGTGCCAATATGCTTACAGAGAGAACGTCCTGCTCCACGTGGGAGTGCGCTGAACGGGCGTGGATGTGCTCCCTGGGCCCTCCCCGTCCTGATGTGGAGTGGCCTTTCGCCGGGCCCCCAGTTTGCGCCAAGGCGCTTGCTGATCCTGCTACGCGCCGCCTGCTCCGCCGCAGTTACAAGTTTTCTGTCGTCCACCCGGCGCTCCTCAAGCTGGATCTTCTCTCGCTGGAGGGGCTGCTGCCGATGCCCTGCCGGTCTTTAGTTTCCCATTCTCGGCGTGGCTGTCGGGCCCGCCAGGGACGCACTGGAATCTTTTAGATTTGGCACTTGGCCCTGGCTCTTGGCTCCAGTTCCACCTCTCGCCTGTGGTCCGGCTGTCTGGGTGCTCGCCTCTCCAAGTGCTGGGGGGCCCGCTCTGCGTTCCTACGCTGCCCCGTTGTGGGGCTTGTGGCGTCCGTGGCGTACATGTGTGGCGTGCCCTCTTTTCTTGCTCAGCCTCGGCTGAACTTAGGTCCTCTCTGCTGTGGTCTCGCCTCCCCTTGCCTCCTGCCTCCTGTCCTGCCCTGGTCTCCTTGTTTTCTTCTGTCAGTACCGCCCGCCCACGGAGCGCCGTGAGCATGTCCATATTGTTGCCGCGGCCGTGCTCTTGGCCAGGACTGGCGCCACGCATCACTAAGTGCCGTTAGTGGCGCGCCCGGGGTGGGCCCCTGACCGGTGCAGGGGGGAGGGGGTGCCAGGCGAGTGTTGGCACCGGGGGAGTTAACGTGCAGGGCGACTGTGGACTGTGCGCGCGCGGTGGCAAAATGCAAGTTGGCCCCTTTGCTACCCACGCTGCTCGCGCGCGCTCCCCTTCGTGCCTCCTTGCCTGTCCTGGTTCCCGCTCCTCTTGCCCCCCGCCCCTCCTCCTGCCATGCGATATCGTTGCCAGCCTTTGTCCGCATCCGGGTTTTACTCGCAACACTGCTCTTGTGTTTAGTTCCCCATCCACTGGAGCATGTTGAACCCGCTGTTTGTCGTATCGGTTCAAATTCGTGTTTACTTTGAAGCAAGGCTCTTGTGTTATGTCCCCCACCCACTGTCTCATGCTGTGTGCTTCTCGGTTTGCTCGTGCGCAATTCCTGCGTCACGGTGGTGAGGCG